AATATTTAAAAAAAAATTAAATAATATTATAAATCAATAATATTAATAATTTTAAATTTAATAATTAAATAAAAATTATTTATTATTTTTAAATTTTAATCTTAAATTTTTTTATATTTTATTATTTTTTATTAAATTTAATTATTTTATAATTTTTTTTTTCCAAATCCTCTGTGATATTATTTTATATTAAATTATTTATTATTTTACTTAATTTTATTTTATTTTATTTTTAATATAATTATTTTTTAAATTTAAATATGATTATTTTTTATATTCTTATAATTAAGATAAAATTTTAATATTAAATATATTATTTCTATATAAAAATTAAAATATATATTAATTTTCTATATAAAAAATAAAATTATTAGAAATAAAATAATATTCAAACACTATATTTTCTTTAAAAAATATTCATTATAAAATTTTCTATATTAAAAATATCAAATAGTTATATTTTTATCCACGACTATCTTTACTATGATTCTCTATAAATTAATTAATGTATTAATTTATATTAAATAAATGCAGAAGCAATTTAATAAATAAAAACATCAAAAAATATTACTATAAAATAAAAAGGTAACCAATTATTATATTAATTTTTGAATTTTTCTTAAATATTTATACAAATAAAGTAAAACATATTGTGACTATAGAAAAGAAAAGAAAGCAAATCAAAAATTTAAATATTTTACTATGATATTTATAAGCACTTTCTATCAAAATAATGAATAAATTAATAGTTAATAATAACAATTGATTAAAAAGTATTTTTTAGATAAAATTAAAATCATTAAATATAATAGAATTAGCAGTAATAAGTATTACATATTTTACATATTATTAAGATATTCTAAAAGTTCTACACAAAAATTAATTAAAGCAAATAAATATCAAAATTAATTCATGTAAACTTATAACTGAAATAAATCTACTTTTATTTGAAAATATATTAAGTTTATTTATTTAATTTTCATTATAAATTGTATTGTTTGTTTGATACATAAAGCTATTTTAATTACTATTTATATTTGATTTAACTTTATATTATTATTATTATTTTAGTTAGTCATTTTTTTGTTCTCCTATTTAATCTTATATGTTACATACCTTTAAATTTTCTTCGTAGTTTTAGTTGAGTATATTATTTTTATCTAATTAACTTTATTGAATTTATAATCGATTCAAACTAACTTAACGTTTATCTCTTTTAATCTAAAAATAATTTTATGTTTTTTATGTTTTAACCAAATAATTTTTTTCAACTTAATTTTTATATTAATTGTTATGAGGTTATATGTCATTTTCTTAGTTAGTTACTTATATACCAACTTAAACTTATTTTTAAGAAGATAATCTATTAAACTTAATTTTAATAAAATCTTCAATATTTTCTAATGGAATGATTTATTAATTTTCTTTTTATTAAAATTGATATGTTTATCTTTTAATAAGTTTACTATTTCTATTTACCATTAAATTTGGTTATATTGTTTATTATTTTTAATTTTGTTATTATTTTGATTATTATTATTATATGTTCTAAAAACCTAATTTGTTATTTGATTATACATCATTTTCATTTCTTATTGCAGTAATTTAATATTATAATTCATATGAAATCGTGGGTTTCGTTAGTTAATTATTCTAGAAAAACTCTTTATTCTATTTTAATTCAGCAAAAGCATCTTTAAGAAATTAAATTAAAAAAAAATTATGATAAAAAATATTTTATATAATTTAAAAATAAATATTATAATAATTTATCAAAATATTTTTATATTTTTTTAATAAAATAGTGATATATAATTTATATATTTAAAATATATTTAAAAATATATATATATATACATATATATTTATATATACATATATATATTTTAAATACTTTCATTTTAGCCTGGTGTATTTTCTAGATATTAATTATATATTTTAAAAATTTTTTCATCATTCTATAAAATATCAGTTAATTATTTTTATCTTGATTCACTTGTAATATCATTTTTAAAAATGATATCCCTAATTTAATTTCTTTGTATCATGCTTTATTCCATTTACGTATCTTAATTTTTATCAATTTATTAAAAATAGATAAATGCAATAATATAAATTATAGTAGTAATAACTAAAGTCCATATAGAAGCATAAAAATACCAATCTTTTAAACGAATCTCTTTTTTAAATATTCCATTTATGTCATTAACAAGAGTTTATTTTCCTTGAGTTTTACATTGACATATAAATTAATTAATTTTATTTTAATCATTTTTATTATATAAAAGTAAGCAATCTTAGTCAATCCATTTATTTTAAATCTTTTAAATGCAAAAAAAATCATCAATATTATCTACAGCTTAAGGTAAATTGTAAACGTTGTATAAAGGAATATTAATTGGAGTTTATTATTAATTTGAAATAAATGTTATTGCCTTTTCATTTATGATAAAAGAATGATTATTAGGGTAAGGGAAGCTTTTATCATATTTAATTACAGAAGAAGGATATTCTAAATAATTTACCTAGTATGTTAGACATTCTTAGTTTTAGTCTATATTTATATCATCTTTTTATGCATCTGAAATTAATATCAAATAATTTTCTTTTAAAATCTTAAATGTTATTCTTTGAGAAGTTATTATATTTAAAACTTTTATAGGATTTTCATTTGTAATTTAAATCATATTTAATGTTTATGATATTATTTATATTATTTAAATATATTATTTATCTAATAATATGTTTTAATTAGGACTAAATGAATCTCTATCAACTTATTGAATATTTTAAATTATTTATGCTTACAACATAAGAAATTATATTTATTAAAAATGATTATCATATTATGTTTTGTCAGAAGTTACTACGTTTTTAATAAGTGTTTATTAATCAGTTATTATTTATTCAATATTTGCAATAAATTGCTAGATTTTATTAAACCCTAATTTTGGTGCAATTTAATTAAGAAAATTATTAAATATAGAATTTATTGTTATTTGTGTCTATATTAAATAGTTGAAAGAATTAGTTTATTAATAAAAATAGGTTTATAAATTCTCAATCTCATTTAAAATATTAATATATAATTGTGTAAATTAAGTATTTTCTTACAATTAGAGGACGCTTATATGATTAATAACATCCTAAATAATCATATTATAATTAATAACTTTATTTTCATTTAAATGATTTTATTTAGTTTAATCAAACCAATTATTTATAAATTTATAATAAGAAGAACTATCTTAAACATCGTATTGGTTTACTGCAATTTATTAGGTTATATTTCTTATTCCTCCTCTTGAATCTTATATTACTCCCATAATTAAAGAAAAACCAAAAGGTAAAACTGTTTCGATATTATTCTTTAGTGAGAAATCAGACAATAAATGCCTATTAATATATTAGGCATTTTATATTTCTTTATCCTTATAATCTTATATTCTATTAAGAAAACCAAAAAAACTGTTTCGATTAATTATTTTATGAAAAAACTATTAATATATTTTTCTTATATAATCTTAATTTATAAAAATAGAAAGAATAAGATAGAGGTTAATCAAAATCAATGCATCCGTTTATTTAAAGAATTTATTTATCTTAAAGATTTTTAATTTTAAAACCTGCAGTTTAATCAAAAGCGCATTCTTATGGAGGTATATTAGCATTTAGAATATAAGAAATGAATGTAGATACTGCAAAATTTATATTTTTAATTGTAAATTTTAATTCAAATTAATTTTAATTTTCTCCTAAAAAATCGAAAAATAATTCCCAAATACGAAATCTAAATTAGTTACCAGTTATTGATATTATATTCTTCTATTAATTCTAATATAAAATTACTCCTGTAATTATTAAGTTATCAATATTTGTATCCCCTTTACAATCAAACTAAGTTAGTATTTCTTAATTTAAATTTATTCTATTTTAAGAGTTATTAATAGAAATAGTAGTATATACAGGGGGAACATCATAATCAACCATTAATATTATTATTTAATCAAAAACGGTTATACCGTTTTTTGTTCCTGATAGTTTAAATATATATTATTAATAAGCCTATAATATTTTATTTTATATGGTGATTTATAAATTTTAGGTGATTGGAGAAATAATTAAATTATTTTATGAATCTCTACAATTATCTCCTGTACTTTGAAATATACATTACCAATTTAAATTTATTCCATAATTAGTTTCTTTTAATGAATCTTTTTCACTAGGTGATAAATTAGGATCATCTACTTTTCCTTCGAGACTAAAGCTTTATGAATATTATTATTATCTATTTCCTCCTAAAATTTAAACCAAAGGAGAATCAGAAAGAACTTATAAAGGGTATAATATTTATTGAGTAATTGTTTGATCGGATTTTAAAGAAACTGTAATTTATATAATATATGTCGTATCAACCTTCATAATAAAAGGTTAAATTTCAAATTAAAATTAATTTCCTTAAACAAATTACGTGGAATCAATATTTAATAATTCAGTTAAATTGTCATTTTATTTTATTTATACTTGATATGTATCTACTTGTTGATAAGATATTTTTCCATCATCTTCACATTATAAAAGATTAAAATAAACATCCATTTTCACTAAATTACTTCTATAAATTTAGTTCAGGTTTTTTTTTACTTTTATGTCTATCGATGTGTCTTATAAAGTTTATATTGTTGCATTAGCAGTTGCAGCTTAATTAAACTAGGAAACCACATTTACTTAGAATTAATATTATCCATTTTTTTTTAATTATAAAGGCGGTATATCCAAAATAAGTTTGTTATTTTATTATTAGATTTACTAATTTATTAAAGCGATTTCATTTTGCGTATTTACATTAGAAGAAACTAGTTACCAAGTAATTTATTTTAATTATCTATTTCCACAATTAGAAATACATAATATTATTATTTATGCTTATTAACATATGGAAATAGGACTGGTTTAATTTAATTCTATAACTAGGTTTGAGTAAAAAATTATTTTACCAGTTATTTATTAAAGAAAATCAGGACAAATAAATCCATGATTTGCTAATTTAAATACACCTGGTTTTATTTTTATTACATCATCCTTATTAATAGTACTTACAGTATCAAGTTTAATTGTAAGTGTTTTTAAATACTCATCTAAAGAACATAAAATATTTCCTTATAATTTAGAAGAAATAAATGATTAATCCAATGTTTCTATACAAAGTTAATTAGTAAATTATAGTTAAGAAGAATAACTTTAGAAATCTAAATTAGAGATAACAAGATCAATTTACAAATTGCTATAATAATAACCAAAATCTATAATTAAATATAATAAATCATCACTAAATTACATTTTAGTCATTATATTTAAACATGAATCACATTGTTTATTTAAGTTTAATTAAAAATATTAAGGAGTTTTGCATGTAAAACATCCGTTGTACTGCATGTAGCACATCCGATTAATAACGTAGAACATATAGTACAGGCTTAATTGAAAGCTTTAGGATCATAGGAATATTAAGGACAATTACATTATTTAGGAACCCTATTCCCAAAACATGTATCACAATCATTCGCATTAGAACAAGTTGCACATTTAGCTAAGCAAGCTGTACATTATCTATTTGCCGTATTCCCCCATTTACCAGGAGGACAAATATTTACACATAAATTTCCATCTAAAAAATAAGGCGATAGACATGCTTAGCAAGTAGTAGCATTACAAATAGAACATCCAATAGATATAGTAGAGCATATAGTACAAGGTTTTTTGAAATCCAAGCTATCATAACTATTCGCAGGGCATTTACAAGCAGGTGCAATCCTATTCCCAAAACATGTATCACAATCAGTCGCATTAGAACAAGTTATACATTTATCTAAGCAAGCTGCACATTATCTATTTGCCGTATTCCCCCATTTACCAGGAGGACAAATATTTACACATAAATTTCCATCTAAAAAATAAGGCGATAGACATGCTTAGCAAGTAGTAGCATTACAAGCAGAACATCCAATAGATATAGTAGAGCATATAGTACAAGGTTTTTTGAAATCCAAGCTATCATAACTATTCGCAGGGCATTTACAAGCAGGTGCAATCCTATTCCCAAAACATGTATCACAATCAGTCGCATTAGAACAAGTTATACATTTATCTAAGCAAGCTGCACATTATCTATTTGCCGTATTCCCCCATTTACCAGGAGGACAAATATTTACACATAAATTTCCATCTAAAAAATAAGGCGATAGACATGCTTAGCAAGTAGTAGCATTACAAGCAGAACATCCAATAGATATAGTAGAACATTCAATACAAGTTTATGTGTAATCCAAGCTATCATAATTAATGCCAGCAGGGCATTCACAGGCAGGTGCAACCCTGTTCCCAAAACATGTATCACAATCAGTCTCATTAGAACAAGTTGCACATTTATTATTACAATTCTCACATTCTATTGATGATCCATCATTATATTTTCTATCTGGACATTTACTAACACATATAGGATCATCATAATAATAATGATAATCGCATTAATCACAAGAATCTCCATCTGAACATGTATAACATCCTTCCCTACATTTAAAACAGTCATCATTTTTAAAATAATAATCTCTTCTACAAGAGATACAAGAGGTACTGTTAGCACATTTACCACATTAAGGCATACATTCAAAACCATAAATAACAAATTCCGTAACTCCAAAAAATTTTTGAATAGATTCACTATCAACATTATAATTTGTAGTAATTTTGATATCAATCGATTTATCATTATTTTCAAAATCGATATTCGCTTATTGATATTCTTCATTTACATCATATCTTCCACATAAATTAGTAGAAGCAACATTTTTATATAAATTTGTAATAGGAACATTATTTACTGTAAAATACAATAAATCCACACCATCTTTAAAATCAATCATTATGTATTGAAAGCTAACTGAATACTTATATACAGGTTTTTTTGGCCAAATACTAAAATATATAACACAATTATTTCCACATTGATTTATTCCTCCTACAATAGTTTTAGAACCACATAAATAAACTATGCTATAACCAGTTGAATTAAAAGTTTCAAAACCACAAATAGTAGCATCATTAGAATTAAAGTTTGAAGTCAAACATTATTTCAAAAGTGTTTTTTTTTAACAATTGAGAATTGAAAATATGCTTAATATTATAAAAATAAATTTAATAATATTGTTAATTTTCATATTAATAATAGATTTTTTCTAAAATATTAATTTTAAATTATTAAATAAATATATCTGAAACAAAATATTATATTAATATAAAAAAAAAGATATAAAATTAAAAATAATTTAAATTAAAAAAATATAAAATAATATTAAACGTGAAAAAAAAAAAAATATATAAATTTAAATTATACTATTTATAAATATAATTAAAAATAAAATAAAAATAAATAATATAAATACAAATAAATAAAATATATATAATAAAAATTATATAAATAAAAATTTATTATAAATATTTATAAAATAATGTATCTATAAAATATAAAATATAGTTGTCTATAAAAAAACATATTATTTAAATTATTTATAAAAAAAATAAGTCTGTATAAAAATAATTATTATATTATATATATAAAAATATATTAATTAATTAAAAATTTTAATACAAATATATTATTTAGCTCATATTATATTTATCTTTATTATAATATTTTTTTTTTTGTTAAATATATATACAATATACAAATTATACTAATATTTTTTTAAAACAATTTTCCACATAAAAATAATATATATTTTTTTTTTCTATATTAATTATATTTTTATTCATAATTTTAGTTTTTATATTTATTTATAATTTAATATATTTTTTTATTTTAAAATTAAAACATTTGCTTTTAAATTAGTATAATTTTAATTTTAAAATAATTAATTATATCATTTATTAGTATTATAAAATTATTATAATAAATTTTATAATTTTTGTTATATTATATAAAATTATTATATTTTTTTTATTTAATAGATAATAAAATACATTGACTATTAAATAAATTATAAATTTTTAAATAATATTTAAAATATTAGTATTATTATATATAATATTAATATTAAAATTTTTTACATTATTATATTTATTATAATATTAAGTCTATTATCAATTTTAAAAAGAAAACACTTTAGAAATAATAATTAATTTCAACCTTTACGCATTAATAAATAATATTATCATTGCAGTGTTAATTTTATTAATGGTAATAGTCGTATCTATGTTTTAAAAATGTGTTTTATATACTATTTATAGAGAATTATAAATTTATGATATTTAATTATCATATTTATTTTTTATAAATTATAAAAACCTGTGTTTTATATATTTTTTCAGCTTTAAATACATAATGATTGATTAAATGGTATTGGTAAAGATTTTTTGTCCTTTATAGTAAATGAAGTACTTGTTGCATAATTATTTTAAAAAAATGCTTCTACTAGTTAAAGGAAATAAAAAATTAATCGAATAATATTAATAATCATATATTGATTATATTACTAATAATTAAGAAATTAAAATTGAAATTACTACTAATTATTAACTAGGTTGGAAAATTTCCTAACATCTTTTGGAATTACGGAAGTTTTAATTTATAATTTTGAATGCATGCCTTAATGTGCTGGATTTACGTACTAACGAGAATTTTTGCAGTTCTTGTTTTGAAGGCTATTATTTAAATATATATGATTAATCTAATTGTATTCAAGAATGCTAAGAGTCTACAGATTAAAATTCTTTTGATTTATGTAAAAGTGTATTTTGATAATTATTCTTAATGTATTTTAAAGCACAATAGGAAAATATTAAAATGATTATTTATAAATTTATTTAGATTATAATAATAAATGTATAACTTGTTCTAATATCAATTTTAATAAAAAGAAAATCAATAAATCATTCCATTAGAAAATATTGAAGATTTTATTAAAATTAAGATTAATAGATTATGTTCTTAAAAATAAGTTTAAGTTGGTATATAAGTAACTAACTAAGAAAATGACATATATCCTCATAACAATTAATATAAAAATTAAGTTGAAAAAAATTATTTGGTTAAACATAAAATTATTTTTAGATTAAAAGAGAAAACATAAAGTTAGTTTGAATCGATTATAAATTTAATTATATAATCAACTAAAACTACGAAGAAAATTTAAAAATAATAATATAAAGTTAAATCAAATATAAATAGTAATTAAAATAGCTTTAGCTTTGTTTCAAATAAACAATAAAATTTATAATGAAAATTAAATAAATAAACTTAATATCTTTTCAAATAAAAGTAGATTTATTTTTTTGAAAAATTATATTTCAATTTTAAAAGTTTATTCCTTTGTTGCTTTATTTTTTAATTTGTATATTAAAATATATTTTCAAAAACATAATTTTTATTTTTTAAAAAAAATTAAATAAATTTTATTTATTATTAAAACTGAAATTATTTCCAAAAATAAAATATTTTAAGGAAATTATAGTAAATTGTTATTGATGAAAAATATTCAAATAATTTATGCACTATTTTCTTATGTAATGAGCAAGAAAATAATGACATTAATTTAAAAAAAATGTTATATTATAAATTTAATTATTAACTATACTATTATAACTAATAAAAATTTTATTTTTATCAAAATCTCTATTAAATATTAAATGTACTTTAACTGTTTTTTTTACCTAAAAAAAAAACAATAAAATAAAGAAACTATAATTAAAAAAAAAAACTAAGAAAGCTGTATTTAAAAATATAAATAATGAAAGGAAATTAAAATTATGAATACCTATCAAAAAAACATTTTATTAATAAAAAAATAATAAAATATTAAACAAAATAAATAAATAATAATAATGCAGAAAGTTAAAATAAAAAATAAAAAATCACATGCAAATTATTGAATAAAATATAATTTATAGTTATGGATAAAATATAAGTTTAAAAGAGTTTTATTAATAATTTTTATAGTCATAAGAAAAACTTTCAAAAAAAGTATTATTTTTTCATTTCCAACAATTGTTAATTTTTTCAAAAAAAGAAATTAAATTTCTCTTATAAATAGGCAAGACTATATAAAGAGAAAAAATTAACTGAAACCTTAATAAGTTAAAGATAAAATATATGTGAATAATTAATTAAAATTTATAATCATCCTGAATTATACCCTATATTCGTTGATGAGTTTGTAAAAATTAATTTTAAAATTATAAGAAAGAAGAATAAAAAGAAAACTATGAATAATGTAAAGATCCATCATAGTAAATTATTTATGCAAAAATATGTTATTAAATATGAAAATATTTTTTAAAATTTCTCAATCCCTTTATAATTTATAATAATTTTATGTTTTATCCAAATAATTTTTTTCATCTTAATTTTTATATTAATTGTTATGATGTTATATGGCATTTTCTTAGTTTTTTTGACATTTGTTAATTACTCTAAAAAAACTCTTTATTCTATTTTAATTCAGCATAAGTATCTTAAAAAATTAAATTAAAAAAAAATATATTATAATGAAAATATTTTATATATATGTTAATAAGTTATCCAATAATTTATATTAATAATTATTTATTAATTTTTTTTTTAAAATTGTTAAATTAAAAATTAAATTAAATTTAAATATAAATTAATAAAAAATTATTTTGATATTATAATAATCTTTTATTTTTTGTATGGAGTTTTTATATATATTAATTTTGTATTTTTATATTATTAATCATTTAGGGTAAAGGAAGTTTTTATCATATTTAATTACAGAAGAAAGATATTCTAAATAAGTTATAAAATATGTTAGACTTTCTTATTTTTAATCTATAATTATACCATTTTTATATGCATCTAAAAATAATCTACAAAGTTTATGATATAATTTATATATATTAAATAACTTATAATATGTTTTATTTAAAGTTAAATTATCTCTATCAACTTATAAAATATTATAAATTATTAAAAATATAAGAATATCATATTATGCTGTATAAGAAAAAATTTCTTATTAATAAACAATTATTAATCTAATAATATTAAGCATTATTAATAAATTACTAAAATTTATCAAATCCGAATTTTTAAATAATTTTACTATGAAAAATATTAAATATAAAATTAAATGTTATTTAATAAATAACATTAAGTAAATAACTTTTATAATATTATTTTAATAAAGGTAATTAATTATATTAAAAATTTTATATAATAATAAATAATATTAAATTCAAAAAAATTTTAAATAAATATTAATAAAAATAAAATTAAAATAAAAATGAAAATTAAAATAAAAAATATATAAAAAAAAATATAAATAATAATATAATATATATATAAAATTTATATATAAATATATAAATATATATATAAATATATTAATAATTATATATATTTATATATAATATTTATATATAATGTTAAATATAATTTATATTTTTTTTTTTATTAAATAATACTATAAATTATATAATGATTTGTTAAATATTAAATAATAACATTCTACATATATATATTATTAAATTATTTTTAATATTAAAAATTAAAATATTTACAATATAAATCTATATATATTTTTTTTTATTTCTACATATATATTTATAAATTTCTATTTATATATATAAAGTTTTTTTTAATTTTGAGATAAATAATCTATAAAATTATAAAATATATAATAATAATTATTTTAAAAATAAATAAATTATTATAATAATTATATTAAAAAATTAATAAATCAATATATACCTTGTTATATTTTATTTAATTAATTTAATAATCATATAAATAAATTTTTTTTATTTAATCATATTAAAATTATGATTAAGTAATTTTATGATATATAAAAATCATTTTTATTACATTTTTATAATTATATTTTTTCTAAAATTAACTTTATTCTAATTA